CTGGCGTCCCGGGCCGCCGCGCCGGGTCCTTCCCTAGCCAGTGCTCCCCAAGCTGAGCACGCGGCGGGCTCTCGCGGCTGGGCCAGCAGGCCAGGGACAGGGCTCTGCCTTTCCGACCACACCCTGACCTCCCCGCTGGACGCCTCTGCCCGGCTGCCCTGAGACCTTAGCGCGGTGGGGGCCGCAGGGGGAACACGAGGGGCCCAGATGGCACCTGCAGAGCATCGTTTGGCACCTGCTGAAGAGGCCATGTAGGAAAAGAGGCAGTGGGGCGTCTGGTCAAGCAGGCAGCTGAGGGCCAGGAGGGGAGCAGACCAAAGCTCACCCTCAGCCTGGAAAGCGCGGCAGGAAGTGCACCCCAGCAGTGCGGAGGGGACCCCAGGTGGCACAGCTCCCGGGTCCTAGCAGTTGAAGTAGGCGCTTGGGGATGGTGGGTTCTGACACTTGTATCAGAAAGCCAAGTCCACCTTCCACCTGGGGCCACCACCACAGAGCCTGGGCGCCAGAGAGGACATAGGTCCCCTGAGTAAGCAGATTTTGTCCCTTGAGAATATGAACTGAGGCACAGAGATAGCTTAGCAGATGTGGACAGACAGGGAGTTGGGGCACACACCCTGATCAGCAGGTTCATGGGTGGAAGGAGAGATGGTGGCCTTTTGGTCACAGAGAGAAAGAAGGAGAGGTGACCAGATGCAGGTGGAGGGTGAGCACCTACAGTAGACTTGTGTGGGCACCCCAGCCTAAGGCTTCCCCAAATTCTTTGTTCCTGGATTTAATCGCAAAGTTCTGTTTTTTGCAGTCACATACACCACAGGGCCAGCGTCCTATTCATTCCAGGCACCCAGCCCCAAGCTCGGCGGGGGAGGAGCTGGTGCCCACTGCCTCCCCAGAGCCCCCAAGGAGGCCTCAGCAGTCAGCCCCATCCTGCTTCTCCAGTCCCCACCCAGCCACCAATCCACCCCTCGGCCTTGTCGTCTAGACCCAGCCAGGTGGCCTTACTGTGTTATCCACATTTTGGAAAATCTCCTGCGCCTCCTCGAAGTCACAGCTCTCCTCCATGCACTCCCGCTCCAGGTTGCTGGCTCGGAGCTCCTCCAGGAAGGAGTTGGCACGTTTGTTTATCCGCAGCACCTGGTGGGCCTGCTCACTACTGGAGAACACTGAGTCTGGTTTGGGGGGTGGGGGTGCTCACTTTGGTGGAGGGGCCTGAGGTGGGGGCTCAAGCTGGGGTGAGCCTGGGGAAGACTTATGATTCCAGGATATGACTCTCTCCCCTCTCCTTTGCTCTCTTCCTCCACTCGAAGAGGTGGCTGGAGGCTGGGGGACAGGAGACTTGACCATCCAGACCTCCTTTTCAACCCCAAACCGATGTCTGTGTGACCTTGAGCCAGTGTCTTTACATCTCTGAACCTCAGTGTTTCATTCAAATTGAGGATGTTTTACTGTACTGAGTAAAACAGTCCAGTGCCTGGCACAGAAATGAGCACCCAATGTCACTGCCATGTGCCGTTGTTATCAAGAATGCCAAGTTAAATCAGTCTCACTGTCCTCTGAATATACCCCGGCAGCCCTGCCTAGACACCATCCCTCCACGAGCACTCCCCATGCTCCTTCCCTTGGGCAATAGACCTGTTGCCCAGTGACTATCACCACATGTCTCCTGGGCTCTGAGAGGTGTCTGTCTTGGGAACAGGGGACAGCTGGGATGGGGCATCAAGTCAGGGGAGGGCAGAAGAGAAGCTTGAGAGAAGATGCAAAGGCCAGGAGAGGAAGGTGTGCCTGAGCTGAGTCTGGACAGTTGAACCAAGTGGCTATAGGTGGGAGCTGAGGAGTAGGAAGGCAGTGGGGCGGGGGGAGGAGGAAGGGAACCTCAAGCAGAGAAGCAGCTCAAAAAAGGCATAAAGCCCTGGCCAGTTTGGTTCAGTGATTAGAGCACTGGCCTGGGCACCGAAGGGTCGAGGGTTTGATTCCCGGTCAAGGGCACATACCTGGGTTGCAGGTTTGATCCCAGGCCACATGAGGGAGGCAACCAATCTATGTGTCTTTCTCATATCGATATTACTCT